GGGCCCGGGCCTGTCCCCGCCCCGCCGGGGGCCGCGCTCGGGGCCGGGGTCGGGGTTGGGGCCGGGGGCTCCTCCCCGGCGGCTCCAGCCCCGGCCCCGGCCCGGCCCGGGCCGCTACGGGCTGTGCAGGAGGGCCCGCCGCAGGCGGAACACCTCCAGGAAGGAGAAGAGTCCCCGCTTGCGGGCCCCGGCCCCCGCCCCGCCGCCGCCCCCCCCCGCCTTTGCCGCCCCGCGGGCAGCGTCCCCCGCGGCCGCCGGCCCGGCCCGGCCCCGGCCAGCCCCGCTCTTCGCCTTCGCCCCCGGTGCGGCGGCAACGAGGCACTTCTGGTACTGCACCTGCGGGGACACGAGAGGCAGCGCGGGGGGCACTCGGCACCGGCCGCATCCCGTCCTCCCCAGGGCTGGGCGTCCCCAGCCGCGGTGCCGCCGGGACTCACCATGCAGGCGGCCTGCACTGCCTCCGAGATGGTGCCGGCGTCGGGCTCGCACCAGAAGGCCGCGCACTGGAAGCGTCGCCCCGTGTCCACGATGAGCGCGAAGGTGTGCGCGTCCCGGCCCACCCCCAGGAAGGTCACGTACCGCACCTGGCACTCCCAGATGTGCGCCGCCTCCTCGGGCTCCTGCGGGGACCCCGCGGGCCCATCCACCCCTGGCCGCCGTCCGAGCACCCCTGCCGCCCCCCGGGTCCGCTCTGCCGGGGGCAGCGCCGTGCCCGCTCCGGCCACAGCCCCCTGTCCCCTCCCCACCTGCGCCGGGTGCACCCTCATGGCCGTGTCGGACACGTAAATCACGGAGGGCGTCCAGTTCTCCCGTCCAGGGCGCCTCGTCAGTTTCTCGATGGCCTCATTCAACACATCCATCCCTAGGCAGAGGGACACCCCATCCCATCGGCCCCGGATGCGGGCGTGGTGCGGGCAGGGGCTGCCCAGCCGCTCCACGGCACTGGGGGGGCTTCCTGGGCGTCCCCCAGCAGCGGGGGAGCAGCGGCGCTTACCCATGGCCCTGGGCACGGGCAGGCTGCCGATGTACAGCGCCTCGTAGGTCTGCATCGACTGCCTCACCGCTTCTAGGATATCCACTGCCAGGACGGGAGAGGTGGGGCTACCCCTCCGTCCCCCGCTGTGTCGCCCCATCCCCAAGGACCCCGGGGAAAGAGCTGGACAAGCCAGAGGGCTCTGGCTCGAAGGCGGACTGTGGGCAGGGGGAGCAGCCGGCAGTGCTGAGGCAGTACCTTGCAGTGGCAGGTCCTCGGCGGAGATGGGCTCCAGCGTGGCAGCGCGGGGCAGCCTGCTGCTCGCTACAGCTCGCTCGGCCACGATCTGCAAGAGACGGGGGTCCCGGAGCCTCCCCTCACCCCTGAGATCCCCAGGTCATGATCACACCCGCCGGAGCGTCCCACCTTGGAGCACATCTCATGCAGAGCCTTGGCGATGCCCTTGGCAGGCACATTGCAGTGGAAGACGTGACACTTGAGGACGCAGGTGTCCTTGTCACTGGCCACAAAGGCGAAGTCTCTGCAAGGCCACGAGCAAACCAGTGAGACCCTGACAGAGGCAGCCCCCTGCCTGTACTGCCCCCCAGCCCTGTGGCCCTTACCTGTCCCTGCAGCCGTGGTGGCAGTCGGGAGGGAGGAGAGGGGACAGGTCACTGCTGGGGTGCCTCCCCCGAAATGGGCAGAGCCACCCCCCTGGCCACTATCTCTACTGCCGCCCATGGCACCTGCCATTGTTGCAGCCAACACCCCAGACACGGATGTTGAGGATGGGCTGGCGGTGGATGAGGCTGCGGTCGAGGGGATCCACCAGGCTCATGGTGTCCTTCTTCAGAATCATCACTAGGTCCTGGCCCTGCAGAGGGGCAGTGGTTCCCTCAGCCTGGCAGACAGCCTGGCCATCCCCAGCATCCAGTCCCTGTGTAGGAAAACCCCTTCCCCACCAACCTATTCTGCCCCAACTGTGGGGTAAGCCCTGCTCCTCTGCCCTTCCCAGTTACCATTCCCATGTGTGGGGACCCATCCAGGGTACCCTGGCACCATTCCCAAGGAACAGCCCTGTCAGACCCACCTGCTCTACACCTGGGACCATTGGATGATGTCCTGTTTAGAGAGTTTACCACCTGCTCCTCTCCAGCACGGTCCAGCCTCAGCAACAGTGGCTCTGGCGTGGGACCCTGGCTGGCAGCACCATCCCAGGCTCTTACCTCACCCTGGTTCTCCGCAGAGCCCTGGCCCTTGCTGTTGGAGAGCTGCTGGATGCAGTTGTTGACAGCGATGCTGCTCTTGCCAGGTGCCAGGTCCTCCTCGGGGATCTCCACCCAGCCCAGAGAGCGCACAGCAAAGCACTGAGCAGAAACACGAGGGGCTTCAGTGCCACCAGCACAGCCACGTCTGTCCCACACCCCTCACAGTCACAGAGTGGTCACCCCTGCTCTGGCTCCCATCCATGTCCCTGCCAGCTGCCACCCTCCTCCTCTTCTGCCAGCACAGCCCACGATGCGGCAGTGAAGCTGGCGGGTGCGGTACCTTGGAGCCGGGCTCTGCGCTGTGCTGGAAGTCATCTCCATGCCAGGACAGCGAGTGCCTGCAGAGGGATGGGGCAGTGAGGGGAGCATCCCTGCTCCTGGGGCACGCAGGGAAGCATCAGGATGCCCTGGAAGCAGCAGACCCCCAAGGCACCAGCTGCAAAAGCATCCCATGGGGGTGCCCAGCATGGGGGGCTGCTCTGGGGGGGGAGCACCAGGGCCCAGCACCCAGCGCTGGACAAGGATCAATGGTACCCCACAAACAAGTCAGCAAAGCACAAGGAGAGCCCTACCTCCGGGACAGCGAAGCCATGGGGCTGGGAATGGGCCGGTCCTTTGTCGAGTGCTTCGCTGCAGGGCCCTGGCATTCCTGGGAGAGAAGAGGAAAGGTGTGACAGCTGCAAGAGGCAGTCAGAAGTCACCAGGTAGGAGCCCTCCCTCCCAGGACAGCAACAAGCTTGTGAGCATCTTGGGTAGTCGAGTCCAACTAGGATGAGCCCCAGGATGGGGCCTGCTGGAGCCTTTCAAAGGGCTTAGCCCCAGACACAAATGGGCTGAGCAGGACTTCAGGATCACACAGAAAGGGTGCTCCAAGGGGAGGCTGGACCAGTCATGCCCAGAGGGCACTTCAGCAGGAAGGATTCTGACAGGGGAATCCAACACCAGACATCACACCCCTGCCCACATTCCCTACCCTTCCCTGGAGTGTTTCCTCTCCATCAGCCTCCGTGTGCCCTCCTGGGCCAGTGGTACGTGCAGGGTGCTGCCACTGTGTCGTGCCTGTTGGCACATGCCAGTAATAGGTACCCAAAGAGTCACAGATTTTCCTCCAGCTTGGGGGGAGGTCAGGGTCTGTTTCCAGGCTCTGGTCGCTCCAGAGGTTGTCTGTGCAGGGAGAGAGTGTGTGAGATACAGGGTGGGGAGGAAGATCCCTCAGTTGCCCTGAGGAGCAAACAGCTTTGCCCAGCAGTGAAAGGGTCCTGCGGTGGCATCTGGGTGCATGGCTGGGCGCATGGGCCGGGAGAGGAGCCTGGCAAGGGAACATGGCACCATGCCAGCCAGACTGCAGCGGCAGCAGACCCCAGTGCAGGGAACTGCCTCGCTGGTCCCCGGGGGGACAGTGGAACCCCGGCAGGGCACAGAGGGCAGGGGCAGGCTGGGCCTGCCAGGGAAGGAACCCTGCGGGGCACCCAGGCTCAGGCTTGGCCCGAGGCTGCCAGCCCGGTGTTCCCCTGTCCTCGGCCGGGAAAGGGGCCGGGACAGACGCCGGGGTCCGGGGAGCGGATTGTGCCCCGGGGGCTGCAGCCGGAGGGTGCGGTAGCGGTGGCCCCCGCACCCCCAGCCCTACGAGGGCACCGACTCGAGCCCGTGGCGCAGCACGGCCGGAGAGAGCCCGAGCCGCGGGGGCGGCGCGCTCCGACCGGCCGGGGCTGTGGGGCCGGGCGGGGTTCCCGGGGGATGGGGGTCCCGGGGGTGGGAGGGTGGGGGTGCTCCGGGGATGGGGAGAAGCGAATATGGACGTGTCCCTGGAACGGGTGGGCTCCCGGCGACCTTGGGGCGGGGAGCAGGGGGGCCTGGCCGGGCCGGGCGCCGCGGGCCAGCACCCGATCAGCACCGCGGACAGCGCCGGGCGCGGCCGCCGCTCCCACCCTCGGGGCCCGGCTCCGCAACTCGGCATCCGCCCCGCAACCCAGCACCGGCCCCGCAACCCGGTATCGACCCCACAACCCGGTACCGGCCCCGCAACCCGGCACCGGCCCCGCAACTCACCCCCGGCCCTACAACCCGCCCCTGACCCCGCAGGCTGTGCCTGTGCCCGCCCTGCCCGCCGCGCTGACCGTCGCAGTTGACCAGGACGATGGCCAGCATGTAGTCCTTGCCCAGCATGGCCCCGCCGCCCGCCCGGCGCGGCGCCCCCGCCGCCGCCTGCCCAGGCCCGGACCCGCGGCGGCTGCTGCGGGAGGGGCGGGACCGGGGCGGGCCGGGGGCGGGGGCTGGAGAGAGCCGGGGGGGGCACTGGGGATCGCCGGGACAGAGCTGGGGAAGGGGCGGGGGTGTCCAGGACCCGGGGCAGAAGATGGTATTCTGGGGAGGGAAGGGACTTTTGGGGTGGAAAGGTTTCTGAGTGCGATAGACAGCAGAGCCAAGTCTGATTCTTCTTCGTTTCCTTCCCCTCCATCCACTCTTAGTGTTCCTCCATTCCCTCCCCTGTCCCCACAGATCACCATCATTCGTCTCCACCCACGCTTCATGCCCAGGTTTGCCCATTCCCTTCTGCCTGTGTCCATTCTCCATGGACCTGAAGGCACCCAAATGTCCATGCTGGTTACCTTCCCTTCTCACCAGGGGCCAAGAGCTTTGTATCTGCAGTTTGAGACTTTTTTTCATTCTGCCCTGGCTATGGCTCACTACACAGGGACAGAAGCTCTTGAGACATTTGTTGTACACCTGAATACCCCATGGAGCTTTTTGAGTACTGCTCAGGAAAAAGTCCTTCCAAGCTACGGGTGCCTGATGAAGTATTCCAAGATGGTTTACAATAGGTGACTTGTCCAGACCGTCCATCTTCACCTTTTCTTCTTCAGAGTAGTTTTCGGATGTGCAGAATTAATTTTCCATGCTTGGTCCCCCTCTTTCAGTGAGGCGTTGCCTCTGCTTGGCCTCGTTCATGCATTCCATGGGATAACATGCCTCTGATTTTGTGAGAGACCCTCCTCTCCTTCATGAATTTTAATCTTGCTCATCTGGCCTGAGAACAGCACCAGCTCCATAAACCAACGTTGCAGTTGTTCACAATAATTTCTGTCTCCTGGTGGCGGCTGCTTTTTTTAGATACAGGCTTTTTCTTCTGCATCTGTCCAGAGATTGTCAGATTTCTAACACTTGATTCAAGCACTGTGTCCTTGGGTCATTATTTGCCTAATCCAACCCCACACAGCAGAGCAGAGGAGACTCTTGGCTCCCTGTGTTCTGATGTGTCTGAGAGGGGTCACAGGTCTCACCTCAACTTCTGCTTTCCCCAGACTTCCACCTTTCCCAGTTCCCAGGAGTGAGCTGCCCCCTACCAGAAACAAGCTTATCACGGTGACTGGCAGTGCGCTGGTATCTTCTGCTGCACATCTCTCCTTGTCCTTATCTCAACACACATTTCACTTTGAAAAACAACACTCAGCTGATCACACAGGAGGCAACAACCCCAACACAAACTGTCCCCACTGCTCTTCTGCCTCATCCAAGCCCACTGAGGTGAAGGCAACTCTCTCCTGACAATGTCACAAAGCTTAAAGGTGACAATGGCCCTGGTGATATGAGACTTTCAGCAAGGGAGGAGAATTTAGGGATGGTGCAGAGCAGAACCTATGGATTGTATGAAACAGCATAAGGGATGTTTCATGGGAAGGGGAAAGGGAGGGACTAGGGGAGGAACAAGCATATGAAGACAGAAAGAAGAGAAAATCTTGTGGTGGTGTGTAGGCAGTGGTAGATATGCTTGCCTGCCTCAGCAGTATGTTTCAGCACTGCAGGCTGTCCTAGACCCTCATTAAATCATATTCTGTGCGGTGGTGCTCCCTGTTCAGAGCTGCCTGGCTGAGAGTGGGGAAGATTTTGGTGGTTCACAAGAGGAAAAGGATAAGGAAAGTGTAAGGATAAGGATAAGGAAAGCCTATACATGTTATACTTTTCAGTGAAATGTATGAGACATCTTGTAATTCTACAACTCATCATTTTGTGGTGTTGGCCCTGAAGAGTGAGAGATCTGGGTTCGGTTTGGTTTGTGCCTGAAGTACGATGGCAGGAGTCATTTTTGGTGCTGGGTTAGAAACAAAACTCTCTTTTTCTCATCTGAATAATGAAATCCTGGAGAAGGGGAATAAGATTTCTCCTTGTAAAGATTGAATTTTATCTTCCTAGTACAAACATCATTAGATCTCTTCACAATATAAGGGGGATTTCTCAGCCCCTCTGACACTTCCCTCAAAAAGAGGAAAAAGCACTCACATGGCTTCCTTGGAGCAGTCTGGGTTCTCAGATCTGTCCATTGCAGATCAAAAGACTCCTAAAGAGGCTCATTAAATGTCATAAAAACACTCCATGGGTGAAACCAGATTCAGTTCTCAGGAGGTCCAGCTCAGTTTTACCTAAAATAACAAAATAGATAACTTTACTTCTAACCAGATCTTTTGTATATGACATATTTTCAGGGGATAAACATACCAGGTTTCTCTCTCCATTGCTCCTAAGATAAAAGACAGAATCTCCTTCAAAGAAAATATCCATTTTCCGTCAGATGATTTTTCTGGTGCATGTCTTCATTCACTCTGGAGAAGGAGGTTCTGATGTAACATCAATAATTTTCAGGTTATGAAAACCATTCATAAAAGAAATCAAGTGAAATATTAGGTAGCAATCCTACTTCCCCACTACCTTCCTCCCAGCTATTGGAAAACCAAGATCATGCTATGCAGCTCAGATTCAGTTATCTGTAGTTATCAAATTTCCCTTTCCCAACACCCCACCAGGCAGAAAAAAAACACAGTTTAAGCTGTTTCTGTGCTTTTACCATCACTTATTTCCACCTCAGTTGTGCAAGTCAAGCAGAGATGAAAGGAAGAGGCCACAAGATCAAGGTCCAAATCAACCCCCTAAATCTATGGAATCAAGACTTTGAAAATCAGAAAAAAACCCAGAGTATCACATTTGAAACTGTAACTCCAATAAGATTTTTTTTCCCCTGTTTCACTGCCTGGTTCCTGTAAACAGCACTGATTTGCAGAGCTGCTGTGAGCTATTGGCACTACAGATTTAATTGGTACGTGCAGTTCCATCCCATAGCCCACAGAGCTCTCTGGAGCACTGTCTCTTCTGTAAGTTTTTTTAAGAAATGCTGTTAATATCCTCTGATCATTTCACACCTCTCTTGTAATACAGAGTGCAGAAGTATCCACAGTTTCAATTTCTCAAGCTGCTTCACACACACCCAGATAACACATTTAAATTTTGCTGTCACCCACTACTAATTCATCTCAGTGAGCCCGGGGGTGGAGATTGAGGATGAGGAAATCAATTCCCTGCCAGTTTGACGCACATACACTCTGGAACACAAACAATTAATATGAGGAACCAGTACTTCTCACAGGAACTTCAAATCAGCAGATAAAATGTTGAGTGTTAGTAAGAGTAAATGCTGCTCTTGGCTTCATCTAATTTCTTGGAGACAGTCCTGATTCTTCCTAGAACCAGCACCTCAGGCCACCAAACAGCTTTAGCTCCATCATTAGTGGAGGAATTAGTCAGAACTTTGCAACTCTCTAACCACTGGATCACCAGCACTAATTGGCTGCTTTCCTTTGCTAATTCACAGGATTCCTTCCAGTGATGTGAAATTATATCAAGAGGTTCTAAGCATATTTTTGCTGCTTTAAACTAAAATCTAAATTACTTCCATTGTAGCAGTACTGCTCTCTTTTTAATTAGTTCCAGCACCTAATAATTATGAGTAAAGGCTTGAGGTACCTGCTAAAAAGCATCACATGGAAACACATAAACCTTAAGCTATATGAATGTATGGGGAGAAATATTGCATCAGTATCAAACCTCAGAAATACAGTTTGTCTTCATTTAAACCAGATAAGAATTAGTGCCTGGTGTTATTACTTAATTTTTAATAAGGGCAGTATTTAATTTTAATTTTCTATGTTGAAGACTATGAAATACACATATTCAGCAATTTGTGAAGAGGAAGAACCCACTGGCCTTATTGTGAAGGCAAAACACAGATTATCAACTACACTTTCTCATGTTTAAGTATTTGCAAACAGTTAATCAGCCCACTGAGGCAATGTCTGAAATCACTGTACGGTTTCATACTTTGTGTTGCACTAGGTTTGTTTTTTCTCCTTTGGTTACAACAACAACAACAAAAAATCTGGGTTTGTTTTCATTTTAATGATGACAGTAAGTGCTTCATTAACTAAAAAGGTTCAATTCATATTTACTATCTGTGCTCCCAGTTTTAACCCTGATGGAAGCTTTTATTTCAACAGCCTAAGGCTGGCATGCACAACCTTTAGAAAAGTGTAACTGCAAACAGACATGAATATCTAAAAATGTAATTACACATTCTAAATTAAAAAGATCAGCAAAGGCAGTTTTCAATGCTCTTTTGCCCTTCTTACCATGCAATCATTAAGGCTAAAAAATACCTCCAAAATCATCGAGTCCAACCTGTCATCACCTTGTCAACCAGACTGGAGCACTGAGTGCTGGGTCCAGTTGTTTTGTGCACAATTCCAGAGACAGTGATTTCACCCCTGCCCTGGGCAGCCTGTTCCAGTGCTTATCCACCCTTTCCATGTAAAAATTCTTCCTGATGTCCAACCTGAACCTCCACTGGTGCAGCTTGAGGCCATTTCATCTTATCCAGTCCCTTGTTCCTTGGGAGAAGGGTCTGATCTTCACCCTCCTCTCAGGGAGTTGAAGACAGCAAGAAGGTCCCCCTGAGTCTCCTTTTCTCCACTTTAACCCCTCCCCCAGCTCCTCAGAGGACTGACACTGCAGACCCTTCCGCAGCTCCATTCCTTTCTCCAGACATGCAATAGCCTCTCAAAGTCTTTCTTGCTGTGAGGGGCTCAGAAATGGATGCAGCACTCGAGGTGTGGTCTCACCCAGGACAGAGAGGAAGTCACTGGCCTGGTCTTTCTGGTCACACTCTTGCAGGTACAGGCCAGGTGCCCTTGGCCTTCTGACCCTCTGGGGCACACTCTGCCTCATGTTCACCCGCTGTGAACCACAGCTCCCCGGGCCTTTTCCACCATGACAGCGTTCCAGCCCCTCTGCCCCGAGCCTGTGCCTCTCCCGTGCACTGCCTTGCCTTTCAACCACTCCCTTACTCTGACTTGTGTACCTTGTCCCAGCACTGATTATTGCCCTCACA